ATATAATAAGTAATAATACAAGTACAAACTCTGTTTCCTGTACTGACAACTTTAGACCTACTTTTGCCTGACTTGTATTAGTATGAATGAGTTTATGCAGTGAGAACAGCTACATTGAAATGGAATATTTTAGGAGGCAAGGCAAACTCCGTAGTGATTGTGTTTAGAAAATAAGTGTCTATGTGAGACAGTGGTGTGGGAAGAGACAAAGACAAACTTATTTTATATCAATAATTTGCCTGAACTCAGTTCCACATCCAGAAAAAAATAGAGAAAAACAAAAGAAAATTGAAACCCCATGCCTTCTAGCGCTGAATACCCTTTCTTTTTCCAGGACTCAGGTGAGTTCTACAGTTTTTGAACTATGAAACCTAAATACTATTGATGCCATTACTTTTATGAAAAAAAAGAAAAAGAAAAAAAAGGTGGTTTGGTTCAGTGGATAGAGTGTCGGCCTGTAGACTGAAGGGTCCCAGGTTTGATTTTGGTCAAGGGCATGTACCTCAGTTGCAGGCTTGATCCCTGGCCCTGGTCGGGATGTGTGAGGAAGGCAACCAATTGATGTGTTTCTCTTACATGGATGTTTCTGTCTCTCAGTCTCTCCCCTTCCTTTCCACTCTGTCTAAAAATCAATGGGAAAATATTCTTGGGTGAGGATTAACAACAAAAACAACAAAAAGTCTTCTTAGATCAAATAACAAATTAATTTTTCTAAACAGTTTCATTTTAGTTTTCCAAATGCTTGCTATGTCCCCAAACTTGAGTCAGGACCTCTGGTAACCTGTCTTTTAGGTTCTGGATGATGCTGAGAAGTAAAAAATATGTGTTTTATCTGTATAACACAAGTTTGCAATAGAAAGCAGTAAAAGACAATAGAGAAAAACTAAATAAAAAGAAAGCAAGCCCTATGAATTTGGGTATCCTATATATTATTAATTCAGAGGATGATCTAAAATTTTTATTTATTCAAAGTCAGTGGTATTGGGAATTTTAAAACAGACCTGTAAAATCCCCAACAAATGAAAGTCAAAGTTTAGTGACATTCATTTGAAGATAGGAAAGAAACCAGATTTTAGATTGTTTTTGATAACATAAAAGGGGTCCAGGAAAACAGGCAACTAAATTTCACTAGTTTGTTAGATATTAGGTTTTATAATGGTTAGACTGTCAAAATGGGTAGTAGAGTGCACTGGTTAGAAGAATGGGCTTTGGACTCAATCAGACATGAATCTGGCTCTACTCTTTCAAAGTTAGTTATTCAGGGCAGCTTTTAAAAATCTCTGTAAGCCCCAGTTTTCTCATCTGTAAAATGGTTATAAAAATAGTATGTATTCATAAGACTTGGGAGGATTAACTGAAGAAATTCAGTAAAGTGCCTAGCACAGTTTCTGGAACATAATGATTGTGCAACCAAAAAAAAAGTGATAATTATGATTATCATTGTTAGTAATTTGTTTGAATTTTTGACTAGTTATATTTGTATTCAATTTAGAAAGTTGACTGTTGTCATCCATATTAATATTTGAGGATTTAAAAGTAGGGATTAGGTAATGATATAAATAGTACATGCATTTGTAAATATTCCTTAATACTAATATCACTTTTTAAGTGAACTGATGCTTTTGATGCAGGAGTATACTTTTCATGATGAACATTAAGTTCATTGTCAATTTATATATATTTTATATTCCAAAATCTCAAATGGTGCAATTTTGCATGTAGTGTGTGCAAGACTTCAAGTGCCCTGATTTTATTAATGGTATTTGGCTTGTTTTTAAATTTGGTTGATGGTGCTATTGGCTCTCTCTGATGTCAACCTTTATTTGAAACTGTTTTCTGTTTCTATTGAGATATAATGAAGACAGATAGAAACACATATTTGAAGAAATATCCTTACAAGAAATCTGTTGTACAAATCATGGAAGTACAGAGTATGAAAGATAATGTATCAGTTATGACAATTGGGACACCTGGTCCAATGTTCAATCAATCAATAAAAGTATTTGATTTGATAAAAATTAACCAGAGTGTTTAAAATATTTGTCCCTCTCTGTCCATTGTCATTTAGTGATGACAATTTTAATAATAGACTCATTTTGAAATCTTGAACATTTGATCTTGTGCAATTACTTGGTGAGAATAGGTTATGAACTATTTTGTATTTATCTAACTGATTATTTAAAAAATGCAATGATGTAAACTTTTGCACACAAACATTAAATTAGTTCAACTTCTGGTTGTTTTCTTAAAAATAGGAATATGGTAAACTCCAGATAGAAAAACCAAAGTTAGGATAAATATTATTTTCTAAGAATTTATATACTTTCATCTTTCTCTTTTTTCCCTGCCACATTCTCTCTTTGTCTTTGGTTATTTTTCATTTGGAAATGGTTTTGGTGAACTTAGTTACAAATTATGGGTTCCTGGCTTTCCAGCATTCACAATTGATTGGAAGGGGAGATGCTTTTTCACATAAATTAACTTTATTTTGCCTTATGTTAGTCCTAATATGATTGTTGCTTTGCTTATTAGATAGACGTTTTTAATACATAGTCTCATTACTTCATGCATTCAGTCTTTGTTCTGTCAGTGTTTCTTGGTTGTACTGCATGTAAAAACCAATGTGCCAGTCCAGAAAGGGTTGAGAAGTGTGTGATTCTATTTCTATACTCAGAGTTTGTCTTCTGAACAAGGAAGTGATTCATCCACTCAAATAATATGATATAAAGTCCCAATACATTTTAAAAAATGAAAATATACTTTAGAGAAAGGCAGGTTGGTCTGTGGTAAATTCAAATGCATTGTGTATTCCTGTGTATAAATATGTATTTTTACAAGTTACTGCAAGATATGACCAACCTTTAAATATTCATCCCTGCTTGATGTAACTTGATTTTTTTTTAAATTTCAGATCTGAGCACAACACAAATTGCTAAATGATCCTGAACTCTTTGTTTAAAATCAAATACTTTACAGGGCATTAAAAGAGTCTAGTTTCAGAGATATAGACCATCAGTGGTACTTGAAGGTATTTAATCTTCAGTGTAAGGAGAGCTCTATAAGAATTGTTCATTTAATCTTGTTATTGAAACTGTCATTTAAAAAATGCTTTGATAAATTACACCAAATAAAGGTGGAAGTCAACATGCACATTTGTCTTAAATATTACAAGATCTGGTTTAATTGTGGTCAATTTGGTAGGAGAGAGAAAACCAACATAATTTCAGAAATTCGCACAGGTCATTCTGGGGTACATATTCTTTGACATGGCCTTTGTAAAATCTCTTTACAACTTTTTGATTTACCTTGTTCTAAGAAATATTTTTTTAATAAATGTCTATTTCAATAGATTAAATCTTTAAACTACTCTCATACTTCTCCTTGATGCTTGAAACGTTTTTCAGTGAGTCTAACAGAGGTGTGGCTAAAAACCAATAAAGAAATTGTAAACTTGGTGAAGTCCATAATAAGATCTGTTTTAAAATAAGTTCTTACAGAACTGCTGGCAGAGAACACAGATTTGAGGGCTTTGTGTTTTTCTTTGACCTTCCATTTTGGTGGCTCAATGTTCTCACTTTCATTTCAGATCCACCAAAGCTAAAGCTATAATGTGTTTTGTTTTGTTTTTTAAGTTGGAACATTTTTAGCTCTGTATTCCTTTAGCAAAACTTTATATTTTGTTTCCTTTATAGTCTTGTTATCTGGATTATGTCAAAATATTTAAAGATATTAGTGATTTAAGATACTTCCCATACTAGAGTGCACATTAACCTTTGACAATAGTCTTCAATTCTTAATTCTTTTAAAAAAATATTTTTATTGACTTCAGAGAGGAAGGGAGAGGGAGAGAGAAATATAAACATCAAAGATGGGAGAGAATCATTGATTGGCTGCCTTCTGCCTGCCCCACACTGAGGATCGACCCTGCAATCTGGGCATGTGCCCTGACCAGGAATTGAACCGCGACCTCCTGGTTCATAGGTCAATGCTCAACCACTGAACCATGCTGGCCGGGCTTAACTCAATTCTTAATCAAACAATGGAACTCCCTCCTCAGTGGATAAGATAAAATAGCAGACCCAGAGGAGGTATTTGGGTGTGGAAAGTTTTTGGGGTGCTCTGGAATCTCTTTGGTCAATCTCTTTCTGCATTTAAATAGACCTCATCTAGAATTTCTCAGATATAAAAATTTACTACATATGTTTCCTAATCACTAGGTGAAAAGTGGCTTCACTGGGAAACTGTCTAAAAACAGTTGCCCCCATTCAGAGATGCATAGTCAGCAACAAAATTCCCTCAGTTGAACCAGCTGATTTTTAGAGTCTGACAGTTTATATTTTCACTGTTGTTAAAGAAAGCACTGAAAATGTTATTTCCTGCTACAGTCCTTCCTTCCTGTTCTAGTTCTGAGCAGGAGATGCTAGAAACCACTGTACGTGCATTATCTGTTTTCAACTCCCGTCAAGAAAGGAATGCTGTGCAAAGATCATCTGGAGTTTGTCTGACTTTGATAATGTAGTGCAGAGCAGTTCTAAAAATAAAGACAGGATTGTTGTGTCCATTAAGAACGGCCTATTTCATCATTGTTGTTTTTCACTTGTAGCCTTGTGCCTTGTATGGCAGTTTCTATTTTTCAGGACAAGCTAAGAAGAGCCATTCTGTGTCTTTGCCCTGGGAATGCGGCGCACAGAGTCTGTGTTTCTGAGAATAATATTTGGCTCATACAAGGAGCCTGTGTTCTGCAAGTGTCATGTCTGATACATATAAGCAGTATCAGCATTCATACGAATTGAGGCTTTACAAAATAAAGCCTTAGAATACATACTGAAAAACAATACAGATTTCTAAGAGCTTGGTAACTGTGTATGTGATAGTTAATAGATTTTTCTCTGTCATCTGGTGAAGTTAAGGGGAGGACTCAAGATTATTAGCAGTCTTATAATTCACTTCACATGTTAAAATTTCATTCTATATCTTGGTCTTCTCTGTTTCCTTTTTAGATACTAGCTCGGTCATGCACTGAAATCCTGGAATTGCATCCCTCAAGTGTATGCGTAGGGGGTAAGTGGTTAGAATTTAAAAATACCATGGGAGAAAATGTGTTTTTTTCCTAGTTAAAATATATGATTTGAAACGCATGTTGGAAAGAGAATAGCAAAATTAACTTTTTTGGCATCTTTGTCTGTAAGAATTTTTAAATAATTCCTTGAAATATTTCTATTTTAAATTCAAATTTTTAAGACTGGAGTGTTATTTTAAATAATGAACATATTGTGTGACAGGCTTTTAGAGTCTTCTGTATATTTAGTTCATGGTTGAGACCTTTCCTATGACAAGTAAAATAAAATATGAAATTTTGTCTTTTATCTGATTATACAGACAGTCATGGATCTGTAGAGTTTGAGCTCCATGCTTTGATAACCAGGCCAAAGGCCAGTATCCACCAGCTCAGGGCACATAGGAAGTGACGTAGGGCTTGATGGCAGGAAGGAAGCAGGTGGCTTCTTTAGCTGGTGCTAAGTACAGACTCAGGTTTTAACACATCAAAGCCTTCCTTACCCAGAGCATGAGTCTCTTTGGCCTTTTCTATTTCTCATTCATGTCTGGCCTGGAGTTCATTTTAATCTGACTTTACTTAGGAAAGGAAAAATAATTTGTCTGGTGGGGGAGGAAATGTGCTGTGAAGTTGACCATCGGCCTCCCAACTGCAGGACATGGTGTTGAGTTCTGTACCTTCTAGTCTCCTTAGCTAATGATTACTGAGATGTTTAGGAGGAATAGTGCATTGGGCCATCCCAGCAGTTTTATAATTCCTGATTCACAGATGGGGAAACTGAGGCAGAGAAAAATTACTATTTGCTATTAGTAATTGTCTTATTAGACCCCTTTGTCTGACTGACTCTAAAGCCCATGTTCCCTTTCTACTGAGTCATATTTTAATTATTACCTGCATTTTATTTTAACTTATGAGTAAAATTCCTTTTATAACACACTTAATGGCCAGTGACATGGCAGTATTTTCTTCCATAGTTACTTATTATGTATGTGTTAGATTATGTGTTAGATAGGAGGTGTCTGAGGGGATTGAGAGCCAAACACTATTTAAACAGTTATAATATATCATCTTGCAGCTAAGCAGCACACATTTATTTGCCAATCAAGATTTTAGATGTTAACTTTTTTTTCTAGCATGTTATTTCACTCTCTAATGTTAAGTGACTGCTCCTGTTTATATACATAGAGTACAATAAGTTAAGTCAACTTTCTTTAGTGACTGGCCATAGGTTATCTGTAGTTCAAAATACTTTACCTCCAGTGAGTTATAAATTTGTATGCAACAAAAAATGAATGTGGGATTAGTAATGTGAAGAAGCTGTTAAAGAACTCTGTATGGTGTGTCATACATAAATTAAAGAAAACACAACACATGACAGTTCTAAGAACCAAAGCGCAGCAATCATTGATGTTCTTTACATTCCCATAACCTCAGTACCTGAAAACAGAGAAAAACAAAGAGGTTTTATTTCTTCTCATATTTTCCTAAGGAGAGAATGGGGGGAAGTTTGTGTGGTAGATAATATCTCCACTTTTCCCCTAAAGGGTCTAAGAAAGCACAGAGTTGGAAATAGAGCCATGTCTTCTTTGTTATCAGTTGGCTGAATAGTGTGAAGAAATTCATTCTTTCTACCTTGATTTTTCAAATTATATCTTTTTTTTGTAAAGCAGTGATTAAAATGTTTATTTTTCTTTTTACTTCTAGAGGAATTTCAAATCGTTTTGAATGGAAGAGGACTCAACTTGGGCAGTCGCAATGGCGATGTTCTCTGTACCTACACAGTAAATGACACCTACACCAAGAGTAGGTCCCCATAACCTGTGTTGCTTTAATACCTGCTGAGCAAGTCAGCCTCAGATGTTTTCCTCTTTTCTCAACTGAAACCAACTGTCCTATATTTTTTAACAAAGGAAAGGGAAATGAAGTCCCATGATAATAGAAATAGTAATAATTATGTAATTGTTATTTAATGAAGGCAATGTTTGTTCATAGCTTAAATGTTGGATGCTGTTCTGAGTAGCCTCATTACACAGACAATGGTCTTGTGGCTGAAAGAGTCAAATAACTTGCCTGTGGCGACACAGTCAATAATGGGCAGAGCTGAGAGTTAAACCCAGTTTTCCTGTCTGTACTCTGTGATGACTGCATCAACTGCCTGATTAACTGCATCTTTTTCTAGATTTATTTCTTATCACTCTTGCTTGAAAATCTCATTCACTTGGACTACTCTACTACTTATTGTCACTTGTTTTCTTTATCCAATTTCTCAATAATTTGTCAATTAGGTTTTTGAGACAGGCTTTTTGTCTTATATTTTATGTCTCTAGTGCCCACCCAGCATAGTGTTTATTGATTATAATCATATTTATGGAATTAGGTTCTATTTTTCCTAGCTTGGCTTTTAAAAAAGCAGATGAGTATAATGTTTTTATCTTCATTCTGAGAAATACTCCACTTACATGATCTTAGTATTCTGAGCATTTTGGGTTTCTGTTAAGACATTTTTCCCTCATTGATTATAGTGTCTTCTAAAATTTATACAGGAAGGCATATGCTACAACTCTGAACTCTGGTAGAATTATTTCTTGAGAGGTTCATCTGCAATTTTGCTGTTTATCTGATGGTACTAAACACTTCAATTAGCATAGCTTTGGTTACACACAGAGTAACTAAGTGTTCAATATGTGTTTGTTGAATTAAAGTGGTGATGATCTCAGCATGATAAATGTCATAATGAATTCCTTTCTTTTCTATTAAGATTATCATTTTGGTAAGGCAAGACAATAACATTTTTTAACAAATTCTCTTCGTCGTAGGTCCCAAAATTGAAGAGGACAAATGATTTTATTTTTATTCAGTAGTCTTCTGTACCTAAGCATTAGCTTTATCTAATTCCTTTTGATTACATAGCTGAATTGATTTTACTATAAACATATTTTATACTTGGCTACTTAAGATTAAGTTTATTAAAGTAAGTATTCAAATAAATAAGTAGAGATAGATTGTATTTTCATCATTCCCATTCTAGGATTATCCATTTGATCATGTAATGTGTGAATATTTATAGTCTAGATAATTTCCTCACATATTATTAAAATTACAAGGGAAACTTAAGCATGCAGCTTTATAAAATATAGATTTTATATTATAGACACAACTGTTTTATTAAACTCTTGAAATAAATTCATTCTCTTTTGGACATTCATCTTCGTTTTCCCATCATTTCTAAATTCTGCTTTTAAATATTTATACCATTTAAAAAATCTAAGGTATTTGACAAATTGGGGGGGGGGGATGATAATTTCATAGGGTCTACAAATGTATGTGAACTTAGTCTAAGTAAAAATGTCATGATTTATAATTTATCAATACTATGTATCAATGAAATATATAACTTCTATTTTTCATTCCTTTTTTCTTCTCCTTTTTCTATAGATGAGTGTCTGTTTTTTCATGCTAGTATATCTAACATTCCATACTTGAACTCTGATTGTCTTTGTCTTTCATATTATTAATAAACTGAGATTCATAAAACCCTTTACCAAGTCTATGGCATTTTATTTTCCAGGTGTAAAGCCAGTAAGTGTGGAGGGGAATTCTGTGCTTTGTCCTGCACCTAGTCTGAATAAAGTTGGAGAGTAAGTACTTCATTAAAAACATTTAAAAACATTTTAGCTACCGATTATTAGGGAATGGTGACAGATATACATTATTTGTTTTATTATATTTTTTGTATAGTTTGAACATGAAATAGTAAACCCTAAACAAACCACTCTGATTAGTACTTCACCTATACTCTTAGTTTAGTAAAGTCTGTTATATCTTATTTCTTAACTATTGATTAAAAAGCTATAAATATTTATCTGGGTGGGTTTGAGAACTATTGTTAGAGCCTTTAAAAAAATCAGAGCCACAGCCATTATTTTGAACTTCAGAGTATTTAATTTACACACACACACACATACACACACACACACACACACACACACGGTCCAAAGTGAGATTTTGACTAATTTGACTAATTGCTATAGTTTTTAAATATTAAGATTAAAGATAAAAATGAAAATGGCTCAATAAGGCACACCTCAGACTAGGAAATACTTTTGCTTTAATTTGTTTCTCAGTCCTGTCAAAGTCTATATTCTTATGTTCTTCAGTTAAAAAAAGGGATATTTAGTTTGGGAGAAGACCTTTATTTGAATGACCATACACAAGTAATTTTACTAGTAATTTATTATTTCCATTTATGATTTTTTATATCTTCTCTATTAAGAAGGAAATGATTGGAAACATTTAAAATATTCCCTAGCCCAATAGTAGTGGATACAATATGCTTATGATAATGAATAGGATACAGTTTTGTTTTTTTAGGATCACTTTCAACAGATCTTGAACCTAAAGTAGAGGACAATAAAATATACAAGGCCCCAACCCAAATTCTGGATTAGTGTTCAAATAACGAAGATTATATTTTTCTCGATGGAACCCAAGAGAATCAATCATGTTAGTAGTTTGAAGTTTACTTGAGCACTTATCTTCAGTGGATGCATAAATATTCAAGATATCTACTGAACATCACTTCGGGTCACCTAAGTAAATTCAGGCAGTATCAGCTGTCTATTTTAAATTGATTGAAGGAGTGCAAGACTTATTTTCTTTCTATAAAAATATTTATTTTGTGTTATGTAATAATCTAGTTTTATTGATAACATGCTCATGGCTGTATCAGGCTGTGTCTTGGAATTTGAAGCAGATCCATTTTGCCTAGAGCCAGCTTAGCCCCAAGTGCACAGTGAGACTCCACGACTTTCTGAGTAATCACTTCTGTGTTAGCAGTGATAAATCTATGGACTTGATGTTTGGTTCTATTTTAACAAATCTATAATTCCATATTGATCCTCCTGATCATTCTCTTCCATCTGCTCCTGTGGCTGTCTTTTCTGTCTTAGTCATTGGCAGCTCCACCTTTTTTGTGGTTCAGGTCAGAAACCTTTGATTCATTAATGATTTCTCTTTCATGCAGGCCATCAAAGAACCTCATTAGCTCTACTTTCAAAATATGTTCAGAATCCAATCCTTCCCCACCACCTCTACTGATACCATCCTAGACCAAGCTACTGTCATCTCTTGCTTGGCTTATTAGTCTCTCCACTGGTTTTTCTGCTTCTGTTCTTGGCAGGAGTGATCCTGTTAAAGCACTTAAAATTGTCCATAATGAGTTCCCCATTCCACTCACAGTTAAAGTCGAGTCACTGCAATGTTTTACAAGGTTCTACAGGATCTGGCCCCTCCTATGTCTCAGACTTCACTTTCCTTTTGCCCTTCCCATTATGGTCACACTGGCCTCTTTGCTATTACTTAACCACGTCAGCTTACTCCCGTACCAGTACTTTTACACTTGCTGTTCCCTCAGCTTGAAATGCTCTTCCCCTCATGGTTCACTCACTCACCTTCTTCGTCTTATTCAGAGGTCTTCTTCTTAGTAAGCTCTTCTTGGTCACCTCGTGTAATTATACAGTCTTATTGTGTCTCCTTCTTGCTAGGGTGGATTTTGTTTGCCTTGTTTCTCGCTTATCTCTAGCACCTTACACATGCCTAACCTACAGTAGATTCGCTAAATGTTTGTTACCTGAAGGATGAATACATTTTTCTCCAATACTTTGGTTTACTAGTTATATAAACAGTTAAAGGAGCGCATTTGGTTGCTGGGGGCAGGGCCTATATCAGGTCAGAGAAAAATGATCAGATTCCTATTTTGGAAGGAATGCCATTTAAGAAAGCAGAAAACTATCTTGGATTTTTTTTGAATATTTATATCCATTTATTTGGGAGCTTGCTTTGCCTGTAAACTCACGACCGTAAGGCACATTGTTGCAAGATCATGGGGGCTGAGGGAGAGAGACCAATATGAGGATCCTGGTAAAGGACAAAGTGAGAAAACTTCCTGTTTCTTCCTCCCTCCCCCGACTCCAGGAGCAAAGAGCCACAGGTTTCCAAGTCCAGGTGGCCTCCTCTTCACCCCCACCCTTGTTATCAAGCTTCCTTTAAAACAACACATCTTTAAATATTAAGTTCTGTTTTTGTTTTGTGCATTTTTTTTATCATACGAGTCCAAAAAAAACAATGCTTGGGAATTCATTCTCAAGAATTTATGTAGAACAGGTGGCCTAGATTAAAGCCTTGGCAAGATTCTTGGCCAAGCTGAATCCACAAACCAGCAGATCATGCACAAAGGCAATAGTTCTGATGAGAAATGATGAGTTACTCCTGTCAGGTACAGGATCCTAGAGTTGGTCAGTTTAGGAACCAAGGGCCTTCTGTCCTTGAAAGTATGAAACCAGGTCTGTGCCAATTCAATACTGCTGCTCTAGGAAGCAACAACAGCTACAGATAATAGAAACACGCAGCACAAGAAAAAAACCCTGTTTATATTTTATTGAGTAACAAGGAGCTCAGAATAGTCTGTTGTATTTATTTGCCTCCTGCCAAGCCCAGAGCTGCCTCGGGAGAGGATGCCGATTGACCTTTTCCAGAGTGCCTCTTTTGCAAAGTGGTAGGCTGTAGCGACAGGTGTTTCTTCTGTTCTTTTTTTGTGGATGACCTACCTCTTCCAGAAACCAAGGGAAAGAAGCTGACAAACTGCTTAGAACGTCTGTGTACAGTTCAAGTGCATAGTGATTTCTGCGCTGCTCTTTGTGTTCAGACACACCGAGTTTACCATATATGTCAGGTTTCCTCTTGGTTGCCTGGCCTGACAATGAAGCTGATTGCAGACAGATGATTAAATACGAATTGAGCACACTCTGTATGCCATGGATACGCCGTGGAGGCACTCTCATCCCTCTGGACAGTGCAGGGCCCTTGACTCGCCTGAACCAAACGACCATCAGCACATTTTCTAACCTGTGCTTTCTGTGTGGGAATCCCTTCTCCCTCCTGCTAGGAGAATGGATGCAGTACCCCCGGATATTAGCCAGTGTGCCTTCTGAATGTTTTTCAATTTGTTATTTGCCGAGAATAACTGAGGAATAATATTTTATGTTTTAATTCTAAGAGGGAAACTAGGTTTGGGGTTTCTTTCTTGTGTTGTGTTTCGGTTATCTTGGATTTTTAATAGTAGTGTCTACTTAAGGAAGACACCTTGCTTTCTTCTCCAAAGTAATTATAAAATGCAACATGCCTGGTCTGTCCCAGACACTGAATGTGCTTTCTTTAGAATTTGCCTTTGGGCGTAGTCTCCTTTTGAAGAGACTACCATAGAGACTGCTGGTAGTCTTTAGTGACTTGTAGATAGGCTACATTCATGAGATGTGATTTTTAAAGATCATATAGAGCGTAATAAATATCAGATATGACACCCTCTGTTTGGCTTGTGACACTAATATTTCACCTACAAGCAAACTGAGATTGTTTGGGGAAGGAGCTTAGTCTAAAGTCATTACTTTTGATCTTTTTATTTTTTGAAATCAAGTACATTATGCCACTGAGGCAAAACTTGAGAAGATTTTCTTAGTGTATGAGGTATTTAGGGACATCATTATTTTTTCTACTAAGTATGTTGCAAGTAATTTGGAGCTTTCCTTTGCCTTGACTTTTCTTCAGATGCTTTTGTAGCTCTCTTCTGAGATTGGATTAAAATCAACACAGCCGAAACACTTTAGCCTTGTAAGGTGACGGATGCTTAATATGCTTGCTTAATTATCTTTTGGCTAAGGTTTCAAACCCATTAAGTAGCTAGTTAGTCTATATTTCAAATGAACACATCTGGCCCAGCAACGAATGAAGGTTTTTCCTGTGTGAGAGTGACAGATGTGACGATGGTTCCCCCTGTTCCCTCACTTAAATAATTAACAACAGGCTGGTGAAGTAGCCTTAGACAGACAGTCTCAAAGCCAGATGTGTAGTCTTAGAGCTGGATCCATGGGCATGTGCCTCATCTCATTAGCCTACTCTAACAGTTCCTTTCTCATCTTTATGTTATATTTCCTGAATTACATTTGTTTGAGGATTCTTTCTTGAAAACCCAGAGCTCATGAATTTTGGGTTGAAAGAGGGTTAACATGAAATTGTTGACTTGGCGATGAGAACGAAGGATGTAGCAGAGTAGTTAGGACATAGATTTGCATTCGGAAATTGATATGGAGTAAACAAAAGTTAAAACCACCTGGGCAACTCTTATGCAGGTATATCACCAGTTAGCCTTGTTGAAGTGGTTCTTCAAAGTACTTTCTTTGAGAAAAATCTTTCATTAAATTTCTTTATTTGATAGAGATTTTTAGAATAAGTTGAACAAATTCTTAATATTTAAACAGAAGGTATGTAAAGGTGGTAGTAGTGAGGTTGTTCTTTTCGATTTCTTTCATTGGACAGAGTTTAATTTTAAAATGTCACACGATTAAACAAATTGTCTTACCAAGAAAACACAGTAGATAGTTTGGAAGCTTTTTTCTGCTAATGGTTCATTTGCACCAAACTGTCTTAAGTTTGAATAGAAAGGACTCTGTGAAGGCCTTTGAATCCTCCCCATTCCAGGGCAGGCGCCTCGTGGTGTACAGTGCAGGTGTTAGCCGTATTTTCAGGATGGGTTTATTCTCTGACCCTTGTTTAGTGAGACAGCAGCAATAACACAGCTGCTCTG